TTGCTCTCATTCGGTAAATCGCTAGGCAAGTTATTTATTTATTATTGTTTGGGAAAATGAATGATTGATCGGATAAAAAAAAAAAAAAAAAAAAAGAAAAAAAAATTTCTCGGTAAATATATACAAATCACCTCCTCCCTAATCATCGATTTTGTTTAAACTATTGTATATATATATATATATGTATATGTATATATGTATATATACACAATATGATATGATATATATGCATATATATGGCGTGTTTTGTGCATTTACATTACATGTCTTCAAGAAAGAAAAAAGCACGTTTTTGGACGGCCGTAAATGACGACAACTTCAAGCTCGTTAAAACAATAAGTGCATTAACAAAAACAAACGATACGTTTTTCTTTTTTATTCTTTATCATCACGAGAACTTATTAGATTTCTAACATCTAAGAGAGATCGAAGAATGTTTTTTTCTTTTCTTAATGCACTTATCGCTCATACCACACGTATACACACAGATAAATAACACCTTAAATTCTCTCCCGTATTAATAATCATTATTACAAAAAAAAAAAAAATTATTCATAACGCAGAAAAAAGTAAGTAAGTAAGTAAGTATGTATGTATTCGCGCTTTTTTATTCGCAAATTTGTAATCATAATGCATTGAAATATGTGAGTTTAAAAAAAATTCAACGGGAGGGGTGTTTTGTATAAATTTACTAATATCTCTCGTCTTTCTCTCTCTCTCTCTCTATATATATATATATATATTTTTTTTTTTTCCAAATATTTGGAAAAATATTTGGAAATATATTATATTTGTATATATATATATTTTTTTTTTCCCGTGAGAGACGAGATTAAATAAAAAATGATCGTAAAAAAAAATGACGATGGTCCTCTACCCTTATTTTCTTGTTTATGTGTTTTTTTTTTGTTTTAATAATCCTGTTTTTTTTTTTTTTTTAAAGAGTGCCACTGCATGAGTATACGTACATGTGAAAAAATTATGTATATACATATATAAAAAAAAAAACTAGAAGAAAAAGAAGAAACATAGTAGTCCGTACGTGTGAATCATATTATTAAAATTATAAAAAACTGTTTAAGTACGAAGCTTGATCAAACAAGGCCATTATTGTTCTATTCTCGTTTTGTCTAAGCTCATGTTATAATTTATTAGATTAGCCTTATATATTTCCTATTTTTTATTGTTGTTTTTATGTCCTCCAAAAAGAAAAAAGATACGAAGGAAAAAAAAAATAATACAACGTTTGACCAAATAAATCTCGTACGCATGGAGTCTAAAAAATAAACCTAATTAATATTATTACGTTCCTTTTGCTATCACGTTTTTTTTTTCAAATGATATTTTAACTTTTCGTTCGATACGATCTGGACAAAAAGATATAAGAAAAAGGAAAAAAAAAACAAAAGTACACGTTTCAAGGTCAAGTCTTCGAAAATAAAGAAAGAACAAAAATAAAATAAAATATTAGCCATTATCTGTGTGTTATTTGTTTCATGTATCGAAAAGGGTTTGTCGTGGGGTGGGATTTTTCAATCAAGTATTAAGGGTACAAAAACCTACAGACGAACAATATAAATTCATAAATGGTAATAAGAAAAATCAAACAAAGTTATACACTATAAGTAAGAAAATCATTCTCATGTATAAGAACTATAGAAAAAGAAGAAGTAGAATGGGGAGAAAAGAAAAAACATAGATCTTAAGAATAAAAAGTAAAATGATTACAAGAAATACAAACACATCCCTTTCTAAACCTAAGTGTCGCTGCTGCCTATTATATTGGGTGGGGGAGATTGATTGATTATGCACATATAAAACGTGCATAATTAAACGTTTCGATTATTTCAAAATCGGTATATATATACGAACTATTATGCTATATATATATAAATCGATCTTTCTTAATATTTAATCAAATATTAAAAAATAATAAAAGAGATTTGTGTGCAGCGCAAACAACTCTCTCTCTCTCTCTCTCTCGCTCTTAAAAAACATTAGTTTATATAACTAAAGAAACAGTTTTCTCTATGATAATAAAGCTTAACGAAAGAAAAGAAAGAAAAAAAACTTAAAAGAAAAAGAAACAGGTGTGTAAAATGTATTAATTTATTATATAATTTGTTTTTTGTTTGTTTGTTTGTTTGCTATTCTCTTGACCTTGCGTTTGTTTGACTGATAAAAAGAAAAGAGAAAAAACGGGTTAGAAACGAAATAAAAGAAAGAAAGAAAGAAAGAAAGAAAGAAAGTAAGAAAAAAGGGGGTATGGGGTGTTGTGGCAGGTTAATAATAATAATCGATGAAAATCCGAGAAAACTTAAGCGATCTCATAAATGGCATACGTTTTCGTAAATGTCTAAATCTCCATTTCGTATTTAAAAATTGGAAATCACTTAGATAACTTTATACACGATCATTTTTTTTTTTTCATAACAATGTAAATCCTCGTAATTGATTACGTTAATATTTAACATATATACTCTTATAATGTATTTATATGTATATTCTGTGTATGGATGTCTTGTCTGATCTATCGTCTAATTTTAATTAATAAAAACTATATATAATACTAAAAATTATATATGATGGGGGTACCATGCCTTTCCGAGATCACGAGTCTGTTTCGTCGTTCCTAGGTTTTTCCTCACTTTATTCGTTATTTTCGTATTCCCAAATTCCTAATATATATATATAATATTTATATATATTTCGTTTCGTTTACTTTTTTTTTTTTTTTTATTCTCACATTACTTTTTGTTATTATTTTCATTTTCCTCTATCTTTTTTTTTCTCCTTTATCAAATTTTATTGTCACAATTATTTTATTTTATT